ACAGGGAGCGTCATCAGCACCGAAAACATGGAGATTTCCTAACAATCTGAACACCAGTACTTTTCATCGGGACAAGCACCATTGACTGCTGGGAAAATCGACCAGCCTGAAAGTGTTTCTCATCATAATCACCTCCGCGTTCTTCTACAGTAGACAACAGTGAAGAGCAAAATGTGTTTGAGCACATGACCTAAACCCAGTAAAACGTCTCCGAGGTTGGCACGCTCGATACTATCGTGCCCTTCTTCGTGTTAAAGGCAAACTCCGGGATACCCTGACTAGTTTGAAGGGATTCCACGAGGGAAATTTGGGGTACGTACCTTCATAGATCATGCCAGCTTCGTTGCCCAAATTGCGCGATTAGGGCGCTAATCCATTACGAACCTGCAACCATCGACCCTCGCTGCAACGCTTCCCACCCACCGCTATTGATGTAGAGATCAGCGTGCTCTCTCGCGTATTTTGTCTTCTTTGATCGCCCTGTCTCGCCATCGTACCACATCCCACGTTACAGTAGACTAAGCCCTTAATTTAGCGTTTACGATCAATTCTCTTGTTCTCCTTTTGCGCCGGTTTTATCTCGAGGCTTGCCTTTAACCCATCCCTTTACAAACTACGCGAGCTCGCCCTACAATTTTATGATGGGACCCGATGCTGCAGAAAACATGCAAAGGTCTCGATCTGAGCCGCTTCCGAAGCTCTAATATTTAGGCTTCCCCTGAAGGTCACACCCACATATGTTATTGAAAAAATCCCAAATTTCTAAGCTTTTCGCAGAAGCAATTTGTCCACAAAGCATTGCGAAGCATATTTAGAAGGAATTTCGCATACCGTTTACGAAAGGTTTTTCGGAAAGGTGTCGTGAACCCCATCTGCTTTTCAACTACAAAATATTCCGCAGAAAAACTTGACCTGGTGGTTTACAGACGAGAAAAAATTTGATTCCTTTGAACTCACTGCTTTACCCGCTACTTGTCCCATGAAGATGCAGATTTGGCAGTCAGTGTGAGCGGCGTTTGAAGTGAACCATTTCCTAGCGTTTATGACATATTCGTTTCCATCCCGTAGAATTGAGCCCTGTAAGTGATTATCTCAATTCAAAAGGTGCCACAACGACAATTAATGAATTAACAAATGGGCAAAAGGTGCCAAAAGACTGGACAAGAACCAGAACTAAATAGCTTTCGAATATCTCTAGAATTTAGCATTGAATCGGGACTGTTTCAGTCACCTTTTGAAGGATTGTCTTAGCCTTAA